CTTTAAAATCTTGTTCTAATATCTAAATTTCAATAATAATGATAAAAAAAAGATTAACTTGTTTTATTCGGTTCGTTTTGGCTCTCTCTTCCTGCAGATCAATCAAAATCAAAAGCTCTGCAAACTTTTACAAGCAAATTTAACCATAAAAATCGGACGAAAGTGTACCTGACTGGTGCTAGCTTTATTTCATGCAGTGGACGTTGGAGGTGTCAATAGCCATTGCTGACACCTCGGATGGTGGTGTCAATAGCCATTGCTGACACCCCTGGTGGTGTCAACAGACTCACCCAAATTTTAAACACTTTTACTCTTGATGATAAATGCATTGTTCCACGAACAATCAGAGATGCTAAATATTGCAAGTCATAAATAGGTCTTAGATAGGATGGAATTGTATCAGTGAAGGTTGTTTTAGAATGAATTTGTTTGAAAAGAGAGTAAACAATGTCAGCATAAGTGACTACTGGCAGAATGTATGATTTAAATATCTGATCGAGAGTGGATGTACTCAAAATATGTTTATGTCTACGCATAAGGTAAAGAGTGTAATTGCATTTTTTTAATACATAACGAACGTGAATTGACCAGTCTAACGAACTCGTGAGAAAAACACCGAGATGTTTGTGATGATCAACAAAACTAAGAGGAGAGCTATCAAGGAAAAGAGGAGGAACAATTGCTACTCGCCCAAATAACATCCCTACACATTTTTTTGAGTTTAGAGGTAATTGCCAAAATTTTGACCATTTGCTTATGCTTTCTAAGTCAGAATTAATGATGTTAGTTGCACTTAAAATATCATTACCACTGTGGTATAGAGACGTATCATCGGCAAATAACCGTATTTTAGATTGTGTTTGTAAAGAAATGTCATCAATAAACAGAAGGAATAGCGGCGGTCCAGGAATGGACCCCTGCGGTACTNTTTCAAAGATGGCGATAGTACACATTGTCGATTACTTAAGTAGCTCGAGAACCACTCCAGTAATTCATCTGACACTCCCTTTTTCTTTAATTTGTAAAGTAAAGTGGCGTGCCAGACCTTATCAAACGCTTTCGAGTAATCAAGAAATACAGCAAGAGTAAAATTGCCCTTATCTACGTTTTCACTAATCTCATGTGCAAGGTCGACTAATTGATTCACTGTCGAGTCGCCTTGTATGAAACCTGACTGGATCGGTGTTAACAATTTATGTTTTTTCACATGAGCATACAATTTATTGAAAACTAGACGTTCTAAAATTTTAGACATTGCCGGTAGTAAGCTTATCGGCCTGTAGTTAGTGGCAAGTGTACTATCGCCATCTTTGAAAAGAGGATGAATAACACCTATTTTCCATTTATCTGGAAATACACCATTCAACAGAAAAAAATTGCAGATATGGGTGAAATCGTTTACTATAACAGGTGTAGATTCTAAAAGAATTTTTGACGTTATATCTTGACTAGTGGCTTTGTTCGGGTTTACCTTACTTAAGCATTTTTCAACCTCTTGAATAGAGAATGTAAATAGTTGCAGAGGAGGAGCCGTTGAGATAAGTGTATCGGATGGAATATTCCTAAAATAATCAGCTTTATCCATCGTACAGATGTTAGCGAAGTGAGTATTTAAAATGTTAGCTTTTGTTATATCATTCGAACAATTATTACCGTTGTTATCTTGTAAAACCGATATGTTAACTGATTGTGTTCGTTTTAAAAGAGACTTAACTAATTTCCACCATGATTTTTTGGACGCATTTGTTTATAGCAGATACCATCGATGTTATCAAATCAACGAAAACGGGTGACGACGTGATTTGTTTACATCATTCTGCTATAAAAGGGCCAGAGACTAGCGATTGTTGGAGTGAATCAAGAAATTGAGGAGACGACACTGTATGCTTTACGGTATTACCAAGTTGATCATAAAAGGTACTTAAATTTGACACCATTAGCTTATCTGAATTATTTAATTTGTCAACAATTGCAATATTTGTTCTTCTTAATCTAATACTATCAGGATGACTCATAATTTGCAATAGAAGAATATACAGTCAGAACAGAATCAAGTGGGAGTTGGAGTTGTTGACGGTGGTGTTTTTAATGTAATTGACGGTAGTCCAGGTAAAGGTGGCGTCGCATGAATCGATACCAGTTGTTTTAATAAATCTTCCCAAGATAATAGAGGTAAAACAACTGTATCATTTTTGTTTGTGCCATCCTTTGTTGGATCTTTACCACGCAACGTTGTCATGAGTAATACGGTATTTTTATCTTTTTTGTTGCTCCATACCAAGCAAGACCGTTTCGGTGCTCGATTCGATCGACGTTTTGAAGAAAATGATGTTGATGAACTCTTGGTACTGGAAGATGATGATGGATATGATGTTGACACTGATGGACTTGTTTTAAACCTGAAAGCATTTTCTACGCTTTGGCGTAGCATATATATTCTTCTAATTATTGGATGTTGTGATGCTTGACGTTCATTCTATTAAACAGAGAGAATCTCTTGTGCAGTGCCTCATAAATTATTCAGTTTGTAAACTTTCAGTACTTAGATTAATTTAAGCAAAGAAAATGTGGGATAAGCGCTAAAACTACGTTAAAAAGCAGTTCAATTAGTTTGTAGACAAACTGCAAGAGAAAATGCAGATTTAAGATCTATCCCGCAGATATGTTGTTATAGCCCTGACAATTCTGAGTATATTTTGTCTCAGACATATGTTTTGATTGCGTAATCGGGGTAGCAGAAAAGTACCGGATACTAAAAGTCTCTCAGTTCTCAGCATATTTACACGAGAGCGTTCACATTAGGAACAAAAATTCTCTTTCCGTTCGCTTTAGGCACATGGTCCCTACTGTGAACGGATATAGGTCATTTTCTTTAATTAATATCTCATTAAGGAAATAAGTGTTAGGTCTGGCCCGCTATAGGTAGATAGAGCACAGTGTGTAGAACATTTTTGGTAGCAAAAATTTTTCTTAAAAATGAACTTTTGATATAGAAAACAAAGTTTTTCTAGAATCTTCTGTATTCACGTGTATTTGAATAGGACCGTTCGCATTAGGAACATTTTTTCTCTTTCCGCTCAGCTTAGGAACTGGATCCCTAATATGAACGATCGAAACGCTGCTCACATTCCGATCATAACTCACTCAATTTAAGTCCGATTTTAAAACTTCTTTTACTATTCGATTCAGGAGACTTTACTCTACTCAAAAATATAAAAAGTCTACAAAACTCTCACTTATTTGGTGAAACACAAATAGTTCAAGACACAAGGCAATTTTTAATTGATAATAACGTTCGACTAGATTCATTTAGTCAGGTACAAGGCAAGAGAAGTTCACAAGTAATATTAGTGGAAAATTTACCGTGAAATACAAGTGAACATGATTTGACAATTCTGTTTGAAAAATATGGTCAGGTGAATAAAATTGTCTTACCACCCTATGGTTATTGTGCTCTCGTTTGTTTTGAACATCAACAAGAAGCAAGACAAGCATTTAAACAATTAGCATACACAAAATTTAAAGATAATAGACCATTGTATTTGGAATGGGCGCCTATGAACGTTATAGGAATAACAAAATCAGTGAAAGAGGTAGTGACATACGCCTTCATCTCTAGTGTGCTCACTGGCTTGTCAGTCCGATAATCTTTAAATCTTCGAGTATACTCGTTATTTTTAGGGTATAACAAACTTTATCGGATATAAAAAACTTTATTCAGCTAAGACAGCCGTATAACACATACATTGTTATATTGTTTGCTAAAACTGAAACAGAATATATACTTCTACTTATCTCTAGTCATATTTCGCTTGTTTCCATTTTCAGGAATCAATTGTTCATAGTGAAGATCATAATGCAAACCCAAGAACACAAGGAAAAAGAAACTTTTATTTTTGGAGATTTTAATGCGAAACATACGGATTGGAATTGTGATCAAATTAACATCAGCGGAAGTAAAATAAAAGATTGGATGGATAGAGAAGGTTTTCAGACACTGCACACATCTGAACCCACATCCAAAAATCAAACTCTGTCATAGATTTCGGGCTGGGAAGAAATATCGAAAATTGGGAGGCACAACGTTTAAATGAAGGCACGTCAGACCATTACCCAGTTTTATTTTTTTCCCCGTTTTCGACAGGCGACAATGGAGTTTTTCGTAAAACAAACTGGAAAATATTTAACTTTTTTTTACAAGCAGTTTTTGAGTACTGGAATGCATTTGTTTACAACTGTGATCACAATTGTTTTTTTGAGGTATTTTCATCGTTTCTTGCTTCTTTACATGACAGATGTAGCGATTACCAAGAAATTAAAACATATAGACCACCGTGGCCTCCTTATTTAGCATAACTTGCGAAAAATGTCAATAAATTCAAAAGAATATTTAGAAAAACGAGATTTTTAGGAGACTACAATAAATTTAAATTTTCGAAAGAAATTTATAAGCAAGAAAAAAAATTTTGAGCAACAAAAACGGGAAATGAAATTAAAAATATGAAAGAAGAAAACAATATCTGGGCACATGTCAGAACTACTTTCTCGCCTTACTCTCCATCCTTCAGAGGCCTAAAAGTAAATAACGTAATTTTAAAGGACAATCAGCTGATAGTCGATAGACTAGATGACTTTTATGAAAAGCATTTTTCATAACCTCAGTACGATATCAAAAATACATTTCATGTAGAATGCTTAGAAAAGTATCAAAAAACTGCAGGCATTTCCAGCATTCCCTTAGACAAAATAAATTTCGAAGAAGTAGTGCGTCAATGGAAAAAATTCTCTCCTAAAAAATCTTTAGATAGTACCAGAACTTCTGCGTTTTTGTTAAAAAATTTACCTCCAGAATATTTAAACACCATCACCATTCTTTTCAATAAGTGCGCAGTAGAAGGGGCATTCTTCAAGAGCGGTAAGGTGGCGAAGGGGTATGCCTGTCTAAGGAGGGAGCGTATCCATCGGAAGATCGTTTAAAATCAATCTCTCTCTTACCCAATCTAGCCAAATGGTTTGAATGCATAATGGTGGAGAGAATCGAGGACTAGTGCACTAATAATGAAATACAAACTGACTAACAGTCAGGGTTCATGTCGCGCAGAAGGCTTCAAACACGAATTCTCTCCATTGTTGAAGAACTGAGACTTACTGTAGCAGCCTGTAACAGGCCTGCTCTAGCTCTCTTTGTCGACTTTCAAAATGCATTTGATAGAATGTGGTATCCTGCACTGATAGAGACACTGAGTGGTTTGGGAATGCCTCTTCCCCTTCGACGTTGGATTTTTGGTTGGTTGCAAAACCGATCGATGTTCATAAGTCATGGGGATGTGGTATCTAGAATCTTTAGTGTCCTTGCTGGCGCTCCACAGGGATCCGTTCTGGCTGCTCTGCTCTTTAGACTACACATACACTTCTTGCCATCGTATTTTGCTCGGGTAATGCCACATTTATACGCAGATGACTCAACACTACTTCTCCAAGGTGCGCTAGAGAAACGTTTGTCAGATAATATAAAATATTTAGAAGAACAAGCAAAACCGATTTTAAAAGCATTAGAAAAATTCGCAGATAATCACATACTTCCTGTAAATGTAAAGAAAACGAAGGCGATGTTAGTACATGGAGCTGTGGTCACGCGCAAACCACAAATTAAATATAAAAACGCAGGAATAGAATACGTAAATAGTTCCAAATGTTTAGGCGTAGAATTAGGAACGAAGTTAGGATGAGGAAAACATATAGAAAGTCGATTAAAGATGGCCCGAAACTCATATTGCGGTCTGAGAAAAAATTTTTCAACAATTTCCAAAAACGAAATTAAATTAAGACGTAAACTATTTTGCGCCTTCTCCCTTCCCCACTTTATCTGGCTATTTTTTACGTGGTTTTATTATACAGATAAACAGAGAGCAAACATAGAACACGTGTATTACTCAGGTTTGAGGTTGGTGTACGGTTTGTGGGGATTTAATGACATTACCACCTTGGCACTGTGTAGGGAATTTTCGTAAAGAGACTATCTCTATCGGTATTGGTTAAAATTCAATAAGCATTTAGAAAACTCTACAGAAGCGACAGCATATCAACAGAGCTGGGGAGCTTTCCTGACTGCAACAGGTCCTTCAAAAACCTACTACAAGTCGATGGGTTTTAGAAAAAACAGGAGATTTCCCAATCGACTGGCAGCTCGAGCTAAACACTCCAAGGTGGATATCTTCGACTTCGTTAATATTCATAGTAAACAGTTTGGTGTATTTAAAACTTCTTCAGCTGTCTTAGAAGAGTTTGTATTAAAATATTTTCCTATATATCCACAGTAAAAGTGAATAATAAGTATACTAATAAATGTTTAACAGAAGAACGGTATCCTGTCTCTACTATCTCTCTTTTTTGTGATTACTCTCTACGTAAATGTGTTTTATCTCAATATTAATTTTCAACTATCACTGTTTTGTACTTGTGTAGAAAAAGAAGAAAATGTTATTAAATATTATTTTTTAATTTTTCTGAACTCTATGATCTGTATTAAAATATTTTTCTGCTGTATTATTTTGTTAACCCATTGGGAACAATAAACCCAGGGGTAAAAAAATCGGACTAAAAACGCGTTTTTTTTTCGTTTCTAACGGTAAAAAAATGCGTTAAAGGTTTCAAAACCAACGCGTTGTTTTGGTCGTTTAAACGCGTTTTCTTCTAAAAAGCTCCGTTAAAAAATGGGTTACAACGCGTTTTATGGTCGTAAAAAACGGTCAAAAAACGCGTTTTCGTTCGTTTTGGAACGCGTTCTTATTAGCGTTGATTTTGAAACCTTTAACGCGTTTTATGGATGTTAAAAACGGCCAAAAATCCCGTTCAAATTCAGTTATCAAAGCTATTTCAACGCAATTGCTAGGTGTATAATTTTACTTGCGAGTTCCACATTCACATACGATATCAGGCCAATTGTTGTCGATATTGTAATACATTGTATGGAGTT